ATAAATAAATAAATGTCTACAAGATTTATCAATTTTACATAATTTTATTTTTAATAGGTAGAAATAATTTTTTAAAATTCAAAAATATTTGTTTGACATTTATTTTTGTCAAATTAGTTTATATTTTATCAAATTGGCAATTTTACCCTTGAAAAATCTAATTATATATCCAATTGTCCTTATTTGGAACAAGATTCAAAATTCAGAGTCAAATATGTCACAATTGAAAAGTCAGGGACCAAAGTGACACAAGCCTCAAACTATAAGGATTATTTGTGTAATATGCCCAAATTTAAAAACATAAATTAAAAAATATGTTTGTTCAAGCCTAAAATATTTATATTTATTTTTATTATTTATCACAATGAGATCACACACATTATAATTGAAAAAAAATATTAATTGGAAAAAAATATTTGAAAAAAAAATTAATTGAAAAAAAATTAATTAAAAAACAATTGAAAAAAAAAATTAATTGGGAAAATAATTAATTGAAAAAAAGATTAATTGAAAAAAAATTATTTGAAGAAAAATTATTTTAAAAAAAAATTAACTAAAAAAAATATTTGAAAAAATAATTAATTGAAAAAAGATAATTGAAAAAAAAAATTAATTGAAAAAAAAAATATTTGAAAAGTAATTAATTGAAAAAAATTAATTGAAAAAAAAATTATTTAAAAAAAAATTATTTGAAAAAAAATGAAAACTAAAAACGTAAATTCATTTTTTGAGTTTACGTTTTTTTCTCAAATTTATAAACTGAGACAACCATTTATAAATCAAAAAAATTAACAAACAAGTTTTTATGACAATTTTTTAAATTTTTGTAAGTATAAATTAAAAACTGAAAACGAAATGATTAGGGTGTGTTTGGTAACGTTTACGTTTTCAGTTTATATTTACAAAAATTTTATAAATTGGTTTTTGTTTATTTTTTAAAACTCAAAACGGAAACACATTTTTTGTGTTTTCATTTTTTGGCAAAATTTATAAACTGAGACCACTGATTTATAAATCAAAAATTTTATCAAACAAGTTTTTATTTGAGTTTTTAAAATTTTTACAAATATAAACAGAAAACTGAAAACGTAAGTGTTACCAAACGGCTACCAAATAGACCCATTATATATGGCTTAAACCATATGGGGTAGTGCAATTTTTCCTTTTTAAAATAAGTACCAACTTTATTATTTTTCTTCCACCAAGTCCAACCACCCTTGCCACCAGTGGCCACCACCATTCACAGCTGGCCGACAGCCCAATAACTTCCTTGACCTGTGACAACCTTTTGGTGGCTCTCTGACCATCTCATGATCTCTGGTGAAAATCTGAGCGCCAACTCTAATGGATACCATTAATCACCATGGGTGCAACTCGGGCAAGTTTAGGTGGGTTGGGAGATTGTTTAAATTCAGCTTAAGTTGTGCTAGGTTCGCCCAGGCCTGAATTGTAATCTGAGGTTGCCTGCCCAAGCCTAACCCGAGTTAAACCCGAATTGTTCGAGTTGCCCAAATTGCCAGAATTGTAAATGAATTTCAATTTTTTTTTTTTTTTGCTATTACATTATTAAATTATTAAAATTTGACTCTATTTACATTTTTTTTTATAGAACATCATTAATACCATCAAAATAAATAATTTATATAATGTAAGAGATATGCCACTATAGTAGTCTTTACAATTTAAAAGTGAAAATAAAAAAAAAGATTTTATGTTATTTGTATATATAATATATATTCATTTTGATTTGATAATCTAAATTACTTTAATATCATGTAATGGCTAATAATTTATATATATTTAATAATTTTATTTATCTATATATGTATAATTTAGGTTTCGGATTGCTCGAGTTGTTTGATATATTTGCCTAAGCCTGTCCAAATTTATTTCGGATTTTTGAATTTTTTTTCAAATCCGTACCGAATTTGAAAATATCTTGTCCAAACATTAAAAAAATTCGGACTAAGTTCAGGTTACTCAGATTAAGCCCGTCCAAATTACATCCCTATTAATCACCTCCACCATCGGTCACTACATCCATCTACTCTCCACTATCGTCTACCACCCTTAGTAACTTCACCAAACATGTTTATCTATTTTTAATTTAAATTATTTCCAGAACATCTCTAAGTATCAAATAAGTTTTCAATTTTTTTTATTTATAAATAATAAAAAAATTTGTTTGTTATTTTTCATATACAAAAAACAAGAAATTAACAATGCAAGGATTTGAAATAACACCTATTTATCAACTTGGCGACGACCCGCATTCTCAACTTGCACCACCCTTTCATATTTTTTCATAGCTGTCTCTCTCATTGATTGTGCTCTATATCTTGAAAATGACTCCAACATGGAACAGTTGACAAAAAAAAATAAAAAATAAAAAAAGTGTTGACTTGTATATTTATATGTAGGTATATGTGTGTATAGAAGATGGATCAATAAATTTAGTAATCTCCTATTTTTTGTGACTTTGTGGATGTGTTGAGGAAAAGGGGCCGTGTTGTGGCCGTGTTGTGTCCGTCGGTGAGATTATTAAAAATTGATAATTATTTTATTAGATTATATTTATTTTTTAAAAAAGTAATGATGAATATGATTTTAAGAATATTCAATTCATTTTTAAAAGTAAATATGATTCAATTATGTAGTTATAGATATTTGATTAATATATTTAATTACATAAATTATAATTTTGAAAAATCTTACAAAATGAATAATCTGTACTTTATAATTAAAAAAATGACATAATTTTAATTTTTTGAGTTATAATTAAAAATAAATTATCATAACTAAACATAATATGAGACATAATTAAAATAATATCACAACTAAATAAAAAAATTAATCATAATTAAAAAATAATAATTTAACTAAAAATACATATAACACAAATTTTTTTAAAGTGATATATATTAAAAATTTCCTATACACCGATATATGATTGTGTACAGCAACAACCATCATCACATGTGCTGCCCATTTCGATAGGCAGTTTTTTATTATAAAATCACGGTAGTAGTACTTCCAAAAAATTATTACATGATAAAGATTGACTTTAAATATTTTTTAAGGAAAATGTCTCGTAACTTAAATTTTGTGGCTCAAAAGTGGTTCAAATGGCCAAAACGACGTCGTTTTGGCCATTTTTATGTTGTTCTGTACTCAAAACGACGTCGTTTTGGCCATTTGAGCCACTTTTGAACCACAAAATTTGAGGTACGTAACATTGTTGATTTTTTAAAGCTTCAACTGAGTTGAACATTTTCATTTTTTTTTTCCACCCACTTTGGATTTTAAAATTTTGCAGCTTTTTATAAGATTGTTAAGGGCATCTCTAAATATGCATTAATTTTTTTTTTTATCAAATTGAAATAAAAATTAAAAAAAAAAAAAAAAAAACACTCTCTTGTTTTCAAGTGTGTTCCAATTGAGGGTTTGGCGGCTTCATCAAACCATCGGTCAACCGAACAGACGATCGCGTGGATGTCCAACTAGTCGACCGGCTAGTGTAAAATTTTCACAATTTTCTCTTCTTGAGGTGGTCATCTGGGCCGACAGTCGGGAGGTCGACCGACCAGTGTAATTTTTTCACAAACTTTTGTCTTAAGGTGGTCATCCGGGAGGACATCTGGAGAAACATTTGGTGGTGAAAATCTAACGACAATAAACAATGATTTGATAAAAGTCACATTGATCCTCAGTTTAATGAAAGAAAAGTGAAATTCTGAATTTAATATCGATTTAATGAAACCGTTGGAGATGAAAAATAAATATTTTTTGTCAAATTCAAATTTAATAACAAATTTAATACACGGTTGGAAATCGTCTAATATCAATTTCAAATCCATCATCTAGACTTTTGATCCAAATAAAATATTCAAAATCTATAGATTTCTAATACTTACATATTTCAAATTAATGCGTTTTGAATTAATTTCAAATTTATATGATTTAACTTTTGAAATGATTTTTTTTCACTAATCAAATCAGACATCAATTTTTACGTATTTATATAATCGTTTGTAATTAAACCAAATAAATTGAAAATAGAAATTAAGGACTACATAGATGAATTTAGGAATAAAATAGAAAAAAACAATACTCCTATGAAAAGTAAAAGTGCAATTAAAGTCATGAATTTTAAAGGATAAGGCTTGTCCGCAATTCTGTTTCGAACTGAACTGTATTATTGAGTCTATGTGGACTTATCACGGAACCTATATCGATGATTTAAACTGTTCAGTGTGTAAAGCTCGTCGAGTATTCATCTTCGCAAAAATCACGTTGATCGGATATCGATTATTATTTTATCAGATCACATTTCCCATAACAAATGTTTTTTAAATCATACTAAACGTTGATAGAAATGTGATCTGATCAAATGACTATCGATATCCAATCAATATAATTTTTTGTAGAAATAAAATATTCGATAAAATCTACACATTAAATTGTTTGAATAATTTATATAGATTTTGTGATGAGTCCATAGATTCAACAATACACTCCAATCCAATTATAAACCGGATAAGCCACACCCAATTTTAAATCCATCATAAAATCATGTGAATCACGTTTAAATTACAATAAATTTTGAATAAAGAAATTTTATAAAGGGCAACTTTTCAAATAATTCATCAAATTCCGTAAAAGCGAAAAAAGGGCAGAAAATATAATAGCGGGAATAACAAACATGATTTTATATTTTGACAATTTATATATAACCGCCATTCTTATTCTTTGAACTCAAAAAAGTCTCCCTTTTTCATTCCATTTCCTCTCTCTTTGTTTCGAAAATTTCCAGACACTTCACCATTTATACAAAGCCTCGTCTCAAAAAAGTACCTAAGCAATCTCTTTATAAACCCAATTTCAGATCAAAATCCAAATCATACAAACATCTCTCTTTCCTTTCTCTCTCTCACAGCCCATTTCATTCTCTTTCTTCCTCTGTTGTTCTCTCTGTTCTTTGTTCACTCTTGAACGCTGTCATGGAACTCTTTCCGGGTCTTCCCAACCACGTCGCTCTCGAATGTCTTATTCGCATACCTTTCGACCAACTCCCTGTGGCTGCCTCCGTATGCAGTGGTTGGAAAGCCGAGATTCAACTTCCCGAGTTTCGACGCCATCGGAAGACGGCTGGCTTGGCCCGATCACTCATCGTGGTGTCGAATTCTCAGGTCAATCCGACCCGAAACCGACATACTACGAAGCTTCCGGATCCGCTCTTGTATCGGCTCGCGCTTTGTGATCCGGAAACTGGTTCTTGGTCCGAACTGCCACCGGTTCCGGGTTTTTCCGATGGGTTACCGATGTTTTGCCACCTTGTGGGAGTTGGATCGGAGCTGGTATTGATAGGCGGGTGCGACCCGCTGACGTGGCAGGTATTGGATTCCGTGTTTATTTACAACTTTGTTTCCGGCATGTGGCGGCGTGGGGCAGATATGCCAGGTGGCAAAAGATTATTCTTTGGATGTGCATCGGATTCTAATCAGATGGTGTATGTTGCCGGTGGTCATGATAAAGAGAAGAATGCGTTGAAATCTATTTTAGCATATGATGTGACAAAAAGTAAATGGATCAAAATTCCTGACATGAAAAAAGAGCGAGATGAGTGCAAGGGTTTATTTCACGATGGCAAGTTTTATGTGATCGGTGGATATCCTACAGAAATGCAGGGTCAGTTTGAAAGGGATGCGGAAATATTTGATATTACCACTTGGCGCTGGGATTCGATACAAAAAGACTTTTTAGTAGATGCCATGTGTGCAAGGACATGTGTGTGCAGTGGTGATTCACATATGTACACGTGTTGCGAGGGTAATGTGATGACACGTGTGGGTACTAGTTGGCAGGTCCTGGTTGGACTACCAGTTGAGGTGTCTAATGTAACATACATGACAGCATGGCGAGGCAAGTTATTAGTGTTTGGTTCTTCTAAATTTGGTGATCACAAGGTTTGTGCTATGGATTTAAAGAATAATACGTGGGCAAAACTAGATGTGCCAGAAGAATACTCAAGCCATGTCCAATTAGGTTGTTGTTTGGAGATTTAAATTTAAATCTATAGAATTTTAAAAAAAAATTATCAATTATTAGTGCATGGCGACCGCCTTTTATTTTTGTTATTATTATTTTTAAGGTACTAGTTACCAAATTGTGTACACATTGAAGTAGCTTTCACACATAAAATTGTTCATTCACTTGTGTGCTGAGTGGAGTAATTATTCAGTGTTTATGATTTTCAATTAATTATAGTTTATTTTATTGAAAATTATGAATTTTTTTTATAGAAGATAAAAATAAATAAATAACACCTTAATTTTTAAGGTAAATTTAATTTATCTACCTTAAAATTAAAAAAAAAATACAATTAATTTCTTTAATTTGACATAATTACATCGATATCTATTTTAATAAGGTTAAAGCAGCCAAAATCAATATACATAGTACTAAAATAAATAAAAAAGATATATATATTATTATAAAAAGGATGATAATATTATTTTTTTGAACATATTATTTACAGATTACTGATGAAAATGTGGAAAGATTTGATATAATTATATCAAAAGTATAGAATTAATTATATTTTTTTTAAACTTGAAGAAAAATGAGTGCAATTTATCTTGATTTTTATTATTTTTATGTGACCAATCACAATTGATCCATTGGAATCAAATTTAATGAGGTCAATAATATTTACTTATGAAAAATGACATAACAGTGTTATACATAAAAAAAATAATTACAAATAAATAATAAATAATAAATATTATAAATATTAATAATTAAAATTATAAAAATTTTAATCAATTTATAATAATTTTAAAATAATAGAGTGTGAGACTCATACCATGTGAGTCTCGTACCCATATAAAATATTTGATAAAAATTTTAATAAAACTTTCAGAAATTTCAACATTATTTATTATTATTATTATTATTATTATTATTATATCATCTGTATTTGGATTGATTCATGTTAAGATTGGATTCTCACAAATTAAGGGGTTGTTTGGGAAGTTCTAAATAAGTGTACTTTTTGACTTTTTATAAAATATGAGTTAGATTTGAAGTGGTAGAGTAGAGAGGTGATATGACTTAAATAAGATAGTGACTTTTTGATTTTTTTGACTTTTTTTGAAGATGTCAAACTTAGCCTAAATAATTAATTTGAGAGTGTGTTTGGATTTGGTAGGGTCATTTTGGAATTGACTTTGATATTTTGATTTGTTTATTTTTTAAGGTTTTTTGAATAAAATATTTATATAAAAAATTAATATGAGTAGACATTGGTAATTATGTGTTTGAATCATATTTATTTTAAAAAAAATAGACGATAATTATAGTTTCAACAGTAACAGTCTATTTTTTATGATACAAATGTGATTCAAATATATAATTATTGATATCCGATCATCTTAATTTTTTTATATAAATATTTTACGCAACGAGTACTAAAAAATAACAATTTGGATCATCTAAGCCAGCCACAAAATAGGCCAATTAAGTTCAAATACTTTCTCAAATTAAAATGACTAACTTAAAATAATCTCAATTCATTTATGTTATGTCTATGTTATCGTAGATTGTGATAATTTAATGGATGAGATTTGTATTGAACGTTTTATTTTATTTTTGGTCAATATATCTACAAAACTGTTTCTTTAGGCATATGCTACAATTAGCAGGAAGCCTTTCTTATAATGTTGATAGAACTATGCAAGTTTTGAATTTTGTGTGTGCGCAGGTGCGAAAGTTTTGATTGATAAACAGGGACATAGGGTTTTAAAAGTGGTGTGGTTTCGGGTTTAAATATATATTCTTTTTAATTTTTTTTATGTGGTAAAAAGGTCAATATAATTGATAATAACTTTTTTAATATATGAAAACTCATAAATAATTGAACTGCACAACAATGATTTGAAAATCGGACTAGACTAACCGGTTCAATCGGTTGAACCGACGACCAGTCTCAATTCTTGTCCGGGTTTAACTCTCAAGTCCATTCTTCGTTGAAAATTGGTTATTTCCATTGAACCGGTCAGAATTATGGTTGAATTAGGGAATCGTTCGAACCAAACTGGTTCAACAAAACCAACCAGGCTCCCATTTTGCAAAATTATGATGCTTGGTCGAGTTGAATACAGAATCAAATGGAAGTTGTATGCCACATTAAACTTTTGTTTATATTTTGTAAACATATATCTTTATTACTTTTTCTTTCAAACATTACATATAATTAATATATTTTACAAATAATAAATATAAATATCTTTATGTAATTATAAATTTATCTTAAAATTTAAAAATAATTTAAATAAATGTATCTTAATTCTTATATTATTAATAAATAATTTTTCATATATTTATAAAACAATTATGACGTCATGGTTTGATTCCGATTCAACTCGAGGGTTGAATTAATGACTCGTTCCCCCGATCCCTTTTCCAGTTCGCTCACCAGTCCAATTTTTGAAACATTATTGCACAACTTGCTTTTTAAAGAAAGTTTTTACTTTCCAACATTTTAGTGATATTTTGAGTTTTTGACGTTATTTTTTATTTTTAAACTTTTTTTAATCAAAAGCTAACTTTGCAAACATCCTCGAATGTTTATGTAATACTAGCGGTGGTATACACATGTGTTGCACGTGGTATTTGTAATTATATTTTTGAAATGAAAAACTTTGTAATTATATAAAGGAAATAGACACCGGAAAATAGTATTTCATAGTGAATTTGTAAACTATATGGATTTATCAACCAAACACAAAAATAGTATTTCATAGTGAATAAGAAAATTAAGAGGTTTAGTATTAGAAAACTATAGAACCACTTATGTAAAGTAAACTGATGATGTACAAATAAGATTTGGCCGATAAATGATTAAGCAAAAATTTTAAGAAAGAATAACCTTAAATCCAGAATTTATCGAGAATCCTAACGAAATTTCTAATTCAATTCTTAAATGATAGGTCATACTTCTAAAATAAATCTCAATCATACATGTATTTTCTAAACAAATCTTTAGTAAAAATTTTGAGTTTGTAAAAATTCACGTAACAAAAACAAATGTGTTAGTGCATGTAACTAATACACCAGCTATGTGTTAGTCTCTATAATTAAATGTATGTATAATACACTAGATATGCAATTGAATTAATTGTGCCAATTATTAAGTTATAGATTTTTCTCTTTTATTTAGCGTATTTCAAAAGTTGGATTCTAATTAATTAACTTGCCCTAGTTAAAATTAAGTAACAAGGTTTTTAATAGACACGTGGTCTTTTAAAAGTCCTCATAAAATGATCATTTACAAAAATTTAAAAGTCTTAGTGCTTGTTGTTACATGGTGTCTATGACTATTGCTATATAGTACATTTTCAGGAACAACATGTTGATAAGGGTGTTTTAGAAATATAAAAAAAAATATATATATAAAATATGTGACAGCAATTTTGATAATATGAAAAAGTAGAAAATAAGCGAGGGTACCCACATTTTTAAAATGATAGTAGATTGGTATGTGATTCTCTATTTTTAAATTCTTCTTTTCATTTGTTTTAATATACTTTCAGTTATTCGATTATGTCTCAACACTCACGTATCTTAAAATTTAAATTTTCTAATTTATCTATTTTAAAATTTCACATGATTTAACAAGTAATGTACATTGACAGAAACATTTAATAACATAATAATCATGACTTGCAAATAGTTATATGTTTGCATATTGTCAACTTCTCATTATTCAATTTACTCTATGCTTAGATAACATTCATTTCTCTGATTTTTTACAAGTTCGTTTAACAATTTTTGTGACGTTCCAAAATTTGAGAACATCATAATAAAGTTTAAAACTTAAAATGAATTTTCTTAATTAAAAACTTCTAATCTTTGTTGCCACCAAGTTTGTCATCATCCATTAATTATCAATACAGAAATTAGTTCTTAAATTATAACTCTAATCAAATTTAAAACTTAGTTTTAGTACATTCATGAAAGAAAAACACGAACATAAAAAGAAAACTAGAGAAAAATTAACAAAAAAACTCAGAAAAACGGTTCATGGGACGTGGGCACACTTCAAGCTAACCAAGGCTGAACGTCGCCTTTCAAGACCTCGGTGTTTCCTTCGGTTTCTTCGGTACCTAGCATAAAACGCCAAGGTAACGGGAATGCCAATGACCGATAAGCTCAATAAGATACTACAATTCCGAAAATATCCACCTCGATAATAATACTCACAAATAATGAATACTGCGTAATAATAGAATAACAAGCAACATTTAATAAACATAACAGGAATGCTATCAGTTGAAATAATAACAATAGATAATAAGAACAATGGCAAGCGGAAACATTATTTCATCATAAGGAAAATGCCAACTTTTCTTTTAAATTCTCATAACTTTAGTTTATCAGATAAGTTTAAGTAACTCCCCACAAAGCACTATTTCCACTCAACAGCTAAGTAATGGCCACGGGCAATTCTCCCTTTGGTCAAATGTCCAAATGTTATTTGTTGTAACTACCAATGATACCCACACACCTGGGTTATATACCCGAGTCGTGACATCGCGATCTACCCAAAGGAACAGTCAATGTTGTGACACCCGCACCACCAACCTTATATCGCCTACACCGATAAGAGCCGAAATATCTTCCCATGCCATGTTAGGGTTTGCAACTCACTTGCGCAAGATTCTAAACCGGGCTCACCCCATCACTTTTAAATTTTAATATATCATCGGTTCAATTTCATGTTTCTTTACTTCATCAAGTTTTAGTTTGAAACCATAGTGACATAATGTTTATATAGCACAACACAATCATGTATGGCAAACAAAATAAATATGATAGAATGTCTTAGGAATCATCACAAAATTTCTTAAGAATTCACACACTTCTTCTTTCAGCATTGTATGGTTAGACAAAAAAATATGAAACCCATACCAAACGAAGTTTACCCATTACAATATTTTAACTAGTGCTAGTTCATAGAGTTAGGAAAATATTTCGAGAAGACTAATTTTTTTGGAACAGCGAG